TCATGTAAGGTGATTGTATTGAAAAGATCACTGCAAAAGCGATTGAGTATTGTCGGAGTCTGTTTTGTTTATTCGTGAATAGCTAAAAGCTATTCTTCACCTTTGTCTAAGAAAGAAGACTCTAGTAGCCATTTATGCACCAGTCCTTCATTACATCCATCGATTTCCTTCTGTTATTCTGGTTCTGTTTGCTTTGCCATTGAAACAGCTCACCATCAATAGTTTTCACATGCCTCGTAAAGTATTTCGCGGCACAGCTTTATTACATCTTAATACAAGCTCTTCATCTCCTTAATCATTCTTCTGTATATTTTTCTTCACCTTTGGATACACAGCTCCTGTTTCGATACTACAAAAATAACAAAACATTCCAGATACATGGCTGATGAGCCCGTCACACTATCTGGGTTCAAGTATACAATCGACAAAACTTGGGATGGTTTGCCAATCGATCACGATCCAATCAGCGTCGAAATGAAGTGGTATTTTACCAGACTACCTGGTAAACCACACAAAAGGGTGATCAAAGTAAACTTTCAGGTAAGTACAAGCTTTGTCTTACTTTAGAGCTTAGAATTTCATTGCTTTCTAGGCTCCTTTATTCGACGATCCTGAGGCTCCTGCAGATCCTCCGGGGATCCTGCATAATGTGAGTTGTGATTTTAGACAGTAATTTAGTTGCAAAAGATGCTCCATACGATTCGTTTTAGCTTTGGGAGTATGAAGTTGTTGAATTTTTCTTCGCTAACAAAAAAGATCAGTATATTGAAATAGAAGTTGGACCTCATGGGCATTGGCTTGTAATGTTGTTTGATGGAGTTCGGAAGCCGTTTAACACAGGTAAATCCCATAATTTGTCTTTGATGTTCGATTCTCGCTGAATTTCCTATGAAATAGTAAACAAAGAACGGAGTTTTCTAAAGCGCATTCCTATTTTCAGGAGAAGAGCTTGAACTGGAAATTACTAACAAATTTGTTGGGAATGTATGGCACTGTGAATTCGAGGTCCCTCTTGCATATTTTCCTGGAAGTAAGTTATTTCCGATCTGCATTAATCTCCTTTTTTGTAGTGGTTTTTTCTTCTGTCGTACCTTTACCTAGTTTTGTGCATGCTTTTCCAGATATAACCAAATTCAACTCATTTGCGATTCATGGTACAGGAGATGAACGGGTGTACGAAGCGCTGAATCCAGTGACCGACGGGAATTACGAGGTATGGAGTGTTAAGATAACTGTAAAATCTCTATCACGTTCATTCTGTTCTGATTCT